TGCTGTTCGGTGCAGTGGAGACGAAAAAGTCAGGTTCGGTGATTCGTATTCAAATCGACTCTGCATGTGTGTGAATCATCCCTGCTTGTAATCGGGGTGAAATTGGCACCTCGCCTCAAGATAAGATCGCGGTTGACGTCCGACCAACCGGAAAATAACGGTGTCGGATGAGAGCCGACACAATGGACTATTCATACGCAAATCGCGGATTATTCCGCAATGTTGATGGAAGTTGTCTGTTCCGGTTTCATCCATGAATGTAATTGATTGCTGCCAGTTTGTCTTGGACAGCAATTTGGCGCACTCGATCAGACTGTTCGCCAATGAACATTGAGTGCCGATACTCTTAAGGATTGTTTGCAAAAAAAATTCGCCAGTAAAAACCTCCTTCTGGGAGTGTCGCTGCGTCCATTCGATCCAATCGCCTGCCGGCCGACGGAGTTTCATTGGCATCCTGCAAGCCCGCGCCGTGGCTTACCGGTCTGCAGGAATTTCTGCTCGTTTTCTTCTCGTTCGGGTTCAGATGCTGGCGAAGATGCGGATCGAGCAGATCGCTGTGGAAAATCCTTTTTAACATCTCGCTCGCGATGCTTCAGAGCGGCATTTGAACCTGCAGAATTGGACGCTGGAGGAGAATCAATTTGCCTCGCACACGGGCCGAGATATCGATACGAAACACGAAAACCAAATCTCTGAAGAAACATTTGCTGTGTTAGATTTTGAGCTAAACGTGCTGCTACACTCACAGGGGCAATATTGGGCGCAAGTAGCGCCCTCTATGAGCCACGCACAAATTGCAACACTGATCTGATTCGCCTCCCAAATCAACCCATCGGGGCAAAATTTCAAGTTTCTAGCCCAAAGAGTTTCATAATAAACACAAAAAAACGACCTCCTTAACATCCTACTTGTATGTATGCCAATGGCCACCATTGGGCCAGAAGTATCTCCAGTTACCGGATTGCCCACTCTCAATGAAACACCCAGTATATGCCAATAGTTAGCCGAGCTTCCGCCGGCCCCATTTTCGTAATTAATTGCATTGCAAGTTGTACAAATTGACTCCTTTTGCCGATTGTATCGATGACACGACCCCTCTCTCTTGGGGTATATTTAGCGCTCCCTTAGGGGCGAAGGGTGACAGTTTGGCTACAAGGGCGCCCATCCATCATTTCTTACCACACCCTCACCAACTGCCCGGCCATATGACAAATTTTTGCGATCCTAATGCTGTTTTTTTTCCTTCGATTGTGTTTTTACAATTGCGTGTGAGGTTTTTTTTCTTCAATGATTCGAAACAAAAACTGGCTTTTGCTTTTTTGTTTTTTTTTTGGGATGGATTTTGTGCCATTTTTATAGGAGAATTGACGCAGTTTTGCAAAGCATTTCAGATGCTTTCAATTTCAACAGTGTTTTCAATTTTGTTCTGACTGATCTTAGTTTTTTGTGTCAGCATGTTTGTGTCATTTCTAAAAGACAATCGACGGACTTTTCTGAAGGTTTTTGAGTTTTTTGCATGGTTTTTCAGGTTCAAATCGAAAAGCTTTTCTTGTTTTCAATTTTCATTGTTTAAAACCGCTTTTTTGCCACTTCAAGCTTATATGAGTTTTTAATGTTTTCTGTTCTTTTAAGAACAACTGCGTGCGAACAACTGTGAGTCTTTTAGCTACTTTTTTGGGGTCTTGACCATATTCGATTCGAAGTGTTTTTTTTGTTTTTCATTACTTTAGATCGTTTTATATTATTTTGCATGGTTTCTCAGATTCGATTTGAAAACTTTTTTTCCTTTTCGATTTTCATTGTTTAAGATCGAATTTTTGCAAGTGTCCTTTTTAAAGGACAATTGACCCAGTTTTGTAAACGGTTTTGCACGATTTTTTGATTCGATTCAAATGCTGTTTTGCCCTTTGCCAATTTTGATAACTTCAGGTCGATTTCGTGTCTTTTTTTCTCATTATCTAACTTTACAATTTTTTGCATCATTTTTAACATTAGTTTTGAACAGTATTTGTCGCGTCTTCAATTTTGATTGCTGTAAATCGTTTTTAAAGTTTAAGGTTTTTGCGTCATTTTTAACGGACAATTGACAAAGTTTTGCGAAAAATTTTGCAATTCTTAATCGCGGGATTTCAGATTAAATTGGCAAATGTTTTTTTTCTTTTCAATTTTGATTGTTTAAGATCGAAATTTTTGCAATTTTTCACCTAATATGATTTTTTTGTGTTTTATGAAGGTTTCTGTGACCTTTTTGAAGAACAATTGATCCAGTTTTGTAAAGTAGTTTCGATTCTAATGGTTTTTTTCCTTTTGTCAATTTTGATTGCTTCGAATGCGTTTTTTTAGAATTTTTAAGTTTATGTCAGTTTGTTCTTTGCGAAGGTTTTGTGTCATGTTTAAGGGCAACTGCGCAGTACGGTAAAGCTTTAAGCGACTCTTTTGTGTTCTTGATCAGATTCAAGTGGAAAAGTTCGTTTCCAATTTTGATTTTGAGTTTTTGGTTTTCGTGTCTTTAAAACAAAAATGTATCTAACTTGCAATTTTTTTGCATAATTTTTGACATTCGTTTCGAACAGTATTTTCTGCGTCTTCAATTTTGATTGCTTCAGATCGCTTTTAAAGCTGATCTTAATTTTGAGTGTCTTATGAAGGTTTTTGTGTCATTTTTAACTGACAATTGACAAAGTTTTGAGAAGATTTTTGCAATTCTTTAGCGCAGTTTTTCAGATTCAATTTGGAAAAAGTTTTTAATGTCAATTTTTAATGTCAAGGAAAATTGGCGCCGTTTTAGCAAAGTTTTCACATTCGAATCGAAAAGCGTTTTTTCTTCGATTTTAATTGCTACAGATTGCTTTTTTTGTTTCAAGCTAATCTTAGTTTTAAGTGTTTTGTGATGGTTTCTTTTATGAGGTTTTTGAACAAATTGACCGCGTTTTGCAAAGATTTTTCCAATTATTTTGCATGGTTTTTCAGAACCATTCAAAAGGCGTTTTTTTTTAGTTTTCAATTTTTCCTGTTTGGTTGAATTGAAAAGTTTTTTCTTTTATTTTAATAGTTTTTGTTGCGCAATTTTAAACCTGATCTACATTTTTTGTGTTTAATGATTGTATCATTTTTAAAAGGCAATTGACGGAACTTTGTGAAGCTTTTCGAATCCATTTTGCCTCGATATTCAAAATATATTACTTATTTTGCTACCCTCGTCTAACATGCTACAACTAACTACACACGTCATCTGACAGTTTGTCGGTGTAATTCGTGTGATTTCGTCACTGTTCGGGTCATTTCGGCGCTTCTTCCCTGTCATTTCAATGACAGTTCGCACGTCTTTACTTAATTGGGATCATTCTAGGCCTTCTTGATGTGCGATTTATATACTTTTGAGTATTGTTGTTGTGTTGAGTATAATTTTTGTCATCCTCAATCTTCTACCCCAAAATTCTGGTTTTTTTCAGTGCGGGTAATGTACTTAACTTATTTAGGATTAGTGAGAGCCCTAATCTTTTTTCGTGGCAATTTAAGGCCTATTTGTTGGAGGCCTAACTTGGAGCATTTTTTATTGGTAGGCATTTATGTCGCAATTTAGCGTCTATTAGTCTTCCTCCTAGCATTTGAAGGTGAATTTTTCGGCAAATTCGGAGGAATCTCGAACAACCGCACATTTCACACACTTTTCTGGGCAGAGTTTCGTGCTTTTGAGTGCCATTTTTTACCAGATGTTCATTTATTTGACCAGTTTTGAGTCAGCTAGTCAGCCAATTTTCAGCTATATTTGAAAATGAAGGTTTTCCTGTGCCTCACTCAAAATCCACGTTCAAATGCTTAAAATAGTAGGTATGTAGCTGAATGGAAACCGTCCCCCTCGAGCTAATAACCCTTTATTGAGTGCAAAGCGTGGCCATATGAGCGTAAAACAGTGTCGCATTAAATCAGTCTTCGAGGGACCAAATGGCCAGAAATAACACGTATTTTCAGCCATTAAGCTATTAGAACGTTGGGACAGGGGAGTCGATCGAGACACTGAGGGTTGATAAAATGTCATATGGCGTGACGGAAGTGCATAACTCTTATTTAATGTCCATAATGAGGAAAAAATGCCTGGAACCAGCCAGGTTGCCAGCCTGTTCCTTCGGACTATGTGGAAACTTCCCAAAAAACCGCTCAGAAAAAACAGCGCACACAAAAGAAGCAAATCCGTCAACAATGAGGATGGAAAGCCTGTCTATTTAGCGGGGACGGCACAATGGAAACGGGGGGTTAAACAGAATGGAAGCGTGCGGCCCCGTCATGGTCTATTGGAAGGTTTGCAGATTTCGGGTTAGTCGCCAGCATGGCCGGAGGCACAAAAACACAAAAAATGTTCTTTTAACCAGTCTATTTGCTCCAACCATCAATCGCCACCGGAATTTCCCAAATTCGTTCGGGTTTGTTTGAATTCGTTTGTGTTCGCTTGCGATTTGCCACTTCCAGAGGGAAAATCTGAATGAAAAAACGCTTCTTAAGTAGCGCCACTGTTCCAAACTAGTCAAAAACTAAAAAATGCACAATACGCACCCTTAACTGGCCGAGTTCGGGCTAGTTAAAGGGGGTGAATCGGCAGGGCTAAAGCGACTTTAATTGTGTTCGGCAGCACGCAGCGTTCAAAAGCCACGTGGCTCTGTTTGGATTCGGCCATTGTTCTGTTCGCTCTGTTTGCATTGCGACAGTAATACATCCGAGCGAAAGCGCCATTGCAACTAAAAATCATCCCTTGATTGGGTTCCTGACGAATCCTAATGACATGCAAATGAGCCGCTGAGGAACGAAAGCGCTCCTTCTGATCTCTTCGACTTTTTATTGGGATTCGTTAGCGAGCGAGTTATTACGTAAATAAAATGCAAATCGCTGCGCCAGGATGTTATTCTTCAGATGGCTGTTTGAGGGCGAATTTCCAGTATCGGCTTTTTCCCATTTGGGGTTTAAAGCTTCTCCTCCCTTGCACCTGGACGTTCGCGAACCAGGCACCGACGATGACGTGTTGCGTCATCGCTCCACTCAGCAGAAAAATGCAAAATAAAGGCCTGGAAGCCATCGGAGACGCCACCACTACCGAAGAGATTCATCTGCAGGTAAAACCCGCCAAGCTCCAGCAAGGGGTTCCAGACAAATGCCCGTTTTCCAGGACAGAATCCTCAGAATCCTGAGCAACAGCACCGAACCATCAGACGTGGTCTTCCTCTACTTCAACAACCAATTCCCAGAAGATCCGCCTTCGCGCTCTTTATTTGAGGAGGATGCTTTGAGTGAAGCTTCGGCTGCAGCCAA